GTCCAAGGTGGAACTTACATTATCCAGCAAGGAACTTCCACTCCTGTTACACACATTGGACAAAGTCAAGTCCAACAAGTCAGTTTTAAGCATAGTTTTTGCATTGTTACCCACAAAAAAAGTGTTTAAGATACAACTCACGCCTTCGAATGGTGTAACACATCAGCAAGTTGTTCATACTGTTCATCAAGTCCCTGTACAGACAGTGCAAACAATTCCAGGACAACAAGGTGGCCATGTGACTGTCGCCCAACAACAGGTAAGTTAGATATTGTGTGAACCTTTGAATATTTTCGTATTTACTTGGTCTTTTTTGCTACTTTGAAAGTTATTTTGTAGCTGTTCTTGTAGATGCCATCGTCGTCTGGTCATCTCGTTGTTCAGCACCAAGCTCCTACCACTTCCGGTGGTCAACAACTTGTGCATCAGCAGGCTACACAGCAGCAAATCACTTATGCTACCGGTGGAATGATGGTGAATGGTCAGCATGTTCAGCAACAGATAATCAACCCATATGGTGCTCCGCCATCTCGGGCCTAAAATCTGCATGGGAATTCCGTAACTGGTCACGTTTTGGTTCGGTAAGTTCTCTCTTACTCTTCTTTTCCTTTATATCTTCGACTTTCTCTTTCCTCTCTTTCGATATCTTCTACTTTTCCCTTGCATAATAAGCTCCTCCTTCGTCATTGCGACAGCTGTTTTATTAGGTGTTTTTTTAAGCTGCCACACTAGCATACTGCATCCTACTTATCTTTTCTTAGAGTCTGACATGTTCTAAGAAATTTTGAGATATAAACAGCGTTGTCGAAAAATTCTAGATTTATGATCAGTTGTAATCTACCTTTTTATCCATTCTGAGATTGCTGAAAACATCGATGGCAAGCCTACATAATTCCATTCCAACTTCCAACTGTCAGCAACATTTTATACACGGATATTGTATCCGATTACTGAGATTTACACTTTGGGTTAGGAATTTGCCGCCCAAATTATCTGCATTGATCATTGCTAAATGATGTGTGCTATTTCACTTTTCAGGAGTGTTCTCCTGTAAAAGTAGAGCCATGGAAGTAGAGTTTGACATAGCTAGCAGATTAGGTTATAATACATTGTCAAAGTGAAGAGTGTTATTGTAATACAAATGGAGGTAATGTGCTGAAAACTAGAAAACTAGTTTTTTTTTTTAATTCACAATAGAATTATCATGAACCAACACTTGTGTTAAAGAGAGGTTGTCGTAAAAAGGAGAATGAACGTACGACTGTGAATATACCCTAAAGAAGTCCATCATAATCAATTACCGAGGAGATAATGCGGTTTATATGTATAGAATTTTTGGTACAAAGGAAAAGGAAAATACCTCTGCAAACGCACACTGTAGGATGTATGCGTTAACTGCTTTCATAGAAGTTATAACATCGAGCACATTGCCATGAATTCGACTATTTCACATTTTCGGCTAATACCTTAAGAACTACTTACGATTTTCCACATGATTTTATCTTTTTCCAGCACAAATGTTCAATTCAACCTCGAGCCACCAGTTCATCTGCTACTGAATATGCAGTGGCAGAGAGTA